TGTAGACGTATGTTGTTGAATATGACCGAAAGGGTATGATTAATAATTATAACACGAATTTTCTCAATATTTCTTAAGTTTTTCTTCACTGTTGAGGGTAATTGAAAAATTAACTCTCCAAAATTAATTTTTTACATTTTTATTTTCGGTCTGATGCCTAAAAGCGTTTCGTAAGGGCTTCTTACATTCTCAAAGACTTGTTTTCACCTTACATACATTCTACTTATATTCGTTTTACGAATATAAGTATGATGTATGGATAAAAATGTAAAAAAATAATTTTGGAGAGTTAATTTTTCAATTACCTTCCATAGTGAAGAAAAACGTAAGAAATATTGAGAAGATTCGCGTTAGAATTATTAATCTTACCCTTTATATATATATATGTGTGTGTGTGTGTGTGTGTGTGTGTGTGTGTGTGTGTGTGTGTGTGTGTGTGTGTGTGTGTGTGTGTGTGTGTGTGTGTGTGTGTGTGTGTGTGTGAGTGAGATACAACCTCATAAGTGTAAGTCAACAAGCAACAAGGTATTTACTTAAATCTTCCCACTTGTACGTGTAAATCGTCGCCCTTGTAAATGTAAATGAGGACGTCGCTCGATTGAAAGCGCAGATGAGTACAGCTATGGCCATGTAAATGAATACGAACCCGCACAAGGACGTGATGTCGAATTACCAGCACTGGAAGCCGAAGCCAGGGAGTGGGGGGAGGGGGGGAGGGGGGGGTAGCAGTAGTCAAGCCTGATAACCCATCCGGTTAATTGCTGCTAATTGATGCTGTTTAATTAACGTGTGTATGATAATACTTGAGTATACACGCTTAATATACTGAATAGGGGCAAAGTATGTTTGTATGCTTGGTGAGTATGTGTTCTCTCTCTCTCTCTCTTCTCTCTCTTCGCTCTCTCCTCTCTACAACGTTGGAAAATAATAGAAATTCTTGTATTCTAGTTTTCAAATATATTCAACATTAGTGAGTGAGCCTTTCATAAATGTTTTTAACAACCAACGCAAAATAAACAAGAGAAAAAAATTAATAAAAATAAAAACAAAACAATTAGCAAGCAATTAATGAACAAGGAAAGTGGTGAACAAAAATATAGTTCTTGCATTCAGTCACAGCAAAACAAAAAGAAATAATTTATTTGTTTAATCACAATTTCCAATTAAACAATGCCTCACTGTGTGAAGATATTTAAATGTGATAATATATATATATATATATATATATATATATATATATATATATATATATATATATATATATATTGGTAGGAGTCTTTCTTGTAAACATATGTTTTTAAATATGACCGAAAAAGTAAGATTAATAATTCTAACACGAATTTTCTCAATATTTCTTATGTTTCTTTTTACTGTCGATGGTAATTGAAAAATGAATTCTTCAAAATTAATTATTATTTTTAGTCTGACACGACGCTTGAAAGCGTTTCGTAATAACTTATTACATTTTCAAAGACTTTAGTTTACACACACACAACTATAACCTGCAAACACTAAACAGAGTTCTACTATGTTATCATTTAAACAGCTGTCATCTTATATATCCGCATTTGGGTGAGGTGACATGTTACAACAGTTTTGGATGAGGTGAACAAAACTTTCAACACAAGATAGAGCAAACTTTCAACACAAGACAGAACATATATATATATAATCCCACACTACCTCTCCCCTCACATCACACTTCCATGTCCCTTTCTCTCTCCTTCCCACTTCTCCCTCTATCTATCCTACTATCCATGACCTGGTAACCTGGAGTTACAGAAGTGAAGATGAGAGTTCTCTAACCACATTACACAACTGGCCTGAGGCACAATTTACCCACGAGGTCATTTTTGACGCCAAGTCATTTTAGGGTGGTGTGGCTCGTCGGCTGAAATTGCTTGTTAGCCTCGACGATTGGTCAGTTTTAGGTTAAAAAGTGGTTTCTGCCATCGTTCCTGGGATGTCTGGTTACCATTTTGGTGTGTGTTGGTTCGCTGAATGCACTCCTCAGCATCTTCGGAGGCAGGTGGAGAGTTAATAATATTTCTGGATGCTGGAGTGAGGCTGAGGTCGTTCTCCATGTTGGTGGAGTGTGGTGGTGCTAATCCTCCATGTTGCTGGAGTGTGGTGGAGCTAATCCTCCATGTTGGTGGAGTGTGGTGGTGCTAATCCTCCATGTTGCTGGAGTGTGGTGGTGCTAATCCTCCATGTTGCTGGAGTGTGGTGGTGCTAATCCTCCAGTATGCTGCAGTGTGGTGGTGCTAATCCTCCAGTATGCTGCAGTGTGGTGGAGCTAATCCTCCAGTATGCTGCAGTGTAGTGGAGCTAATCCTCCAGAATGCTGGAGGATTAGTTCCACCTTTAGATATGTATATATATATATATATATATATATATACTACATCCACATTTACCCTACGAATCAGCATCCTTGTTCATCTCCTGACATCTCCATAAGCTTATAATAACGTGTTTACATAACCACAGTGTAACGAGTGAATTACTCGTTACACTGTAATGAGTGAATTACTGAATGAACAAGTTAAATCACCTGAATTAGGGAGCAGGAGGTGAATATGTGATGGATTTCAGAGACAAGGGATGAATGACAGGATAGATTGGGAGAATGATTGTGAGGATTTAAAGGGTCAATTTACGAGATTGAATGCCGGAGCGTCTTCTATCTTAATACGTGTTAAAGAGACGAGTGATTGAAGTCTAATTGAGAAAGTGATGTGAAAATTGATAGGTAGTTGAATTATGTATTAAAGGGATACGGTGGTGATAGAAAGAGAGAGAGAGAGAGAGAGAGAGAGAGAGAGAGAGAGAGAGAGAGAGAGAGAGAGAGAGAGAGAGAGAGAGAGAGAGAGAGGTGAGAGAGAAAGAGAGAAAGATGGAATATGGTTTCATAACAGAAGGACTTCGAGAGATAGGCAAGATAATGAGAAGAGGGAAGATAATGAGAAGAGGGAAGACACAGAAAGGGACCAAATGGATATAAATGAGAAGGAAGAGACTAGCAAGAAAGATGTCCGTTGACTACAGTAATTTACCTTAATGTGTCGTGTTTCAGGACCGTCGTTCCCTTAATGGTCGAGGCTCCAACAACGACCACAAATTACATATATATATATATATATATATATATATATATATATATATATATATATATATATATATATATATATATATATATATATATATATATATATATATATATATATATTCAAAAGCCCAGGCCGGAGCAGGAACAAGCACGTACATAATTTACCATCAGAAAATTTTCACAGGACCCGTTGCAAGCTTCAGATAATGGCCACAAGGAAAGGTGTATCAGATGGGCTCTCCAGTGGGCTCTCCAGTGGGCTCCAGTGGGTTCCACTGGGTTCCAGTGGGCACCAGTGAGCTCCACTGGGTTCCAGTGGGTTCCAATCAGCTCCAGCTGATTCCAGTGGGCTCCAGTGGGCTCCAATGGGTTCCAGTGGGCTCCATTGGGTTCCAATCAGCTCCAACTGGTTCCAGTGGGTTTTTCCAGCAGATTTCAGCAGGCTCCACCTACCTCCAGCACACTCTAGCTGGCTCAATATGCATCAATTCATATGTTACAAGCCTCTGGAACACATGAAACACCCTCTCAGAGACTGGGTCGAGGCTAAGCTCTATATAGGTCCTACCGAGCCCCGCCCATCAATTTCCTGAAGATCCCATTTGAGGAGGAAGAGAACTAGGAAGACAGAGAGAGAGAGAGAGAGAGAGAGAGAGAGAGAGAGAGAGAGAGAGAGAGAGAGAGAGAGAGAGAGAGAGAGAGAGAGAGAGAGAGAGAGAGAGAGAGAGAGAGGGAGAACGAAATATTGATTCAGCTTTTAAAAACATAACTTTGGGTCAACAATGTAGTTTATGAATCCATTTAACACAGTGAAAGAAGCATTCGGGACACGAAGAGAGGATTTAGGGAATGTTTATGATGGATTTAGAGACTCTAACATGTGTATTTCAGTCCCATATAACGTGGATTTCGGACCATGAAGGTAAGAAAAGCTTAAGGGAATTATTTGGTGCCCATTTACAAACAGATTTATGAACACGATACATGGATTTAGACACCAAAAAAGTGATTTGAGGACACGCACTTTAATTTCTAATGAACGAAGAGAAAATCTTGAAGTGGAACATCTTGATCCAAAATTTTTCTCTTAGATACATCATGTGATGTATGAGGAAAAGATGTTCTAAAAGATGTAGAGACGATCCCGTTTTTCAAACAGAATTAAAACACTCTAATATGATTTATCTTCAAAACAACAACATTGGGATTATAAATACATGTTTATAATTGCATATTACCTTAAACCACAACATTTTAACAGAAATTTGTATTATATTCTTCGATATTTAGGAATATAAACAAAAGTAAACATTGCCAGTGCTATGTTTAAAGCAGATACTGAGAAAAAAAGGCAAAATAGCAATAATGATTTTCTATATATTATAGATTTTAGGGGACGAGTCAGCCGTCATACACTCGGCTTTTGTATGTCAGACTGAATAATATATATATATATATATATATATATATATATATATATATATATATATATATATATATATATATATATATATATATATATATATATATATATATATATATGTCTGTCTGTGTTTCTCTAGCGTTTCGGTGACTGTATGCCTCTATGTCAGTCTGTGAGAATACGTCAGCATGTTTTCCTGCCTGTGCTCCTGTCTGTCTGTCTGTGCTTTTCCCTGTCTATCAGCTTATATCTCGCGTTCTTGAAACCCAATACTCTACTAATAATGCAAGAAAGCTATTGACAGCAACATTAGAGATAAATTTCTACTCCTTCACTATCAGTTGGTTTTCAATTCCGCTACTGGATTAGAGTATTTGAATCAGATACTAATTTACTAAGTAAATGCTTTTATTACGTTTTATTACTTTTATTGACTAAGGAAGTTACTTTTATCTTTATGCAACATCTATGCGAGGACTGCTGGTACTAAGTAATCTGCCAGTATTCAAGCAGTCATGCACTCAGTCAGTTGAGCATTCCAATCAGTCAGTTGAGGATCCGTATCAGTCAGTTGAGCATTCCAATCAGTCAGTTGAGGATCCGTATCAGTCAGTTGAGCATTCCAATCAGTCAGTTGAGGATCCGTATCAGTCAGTTGAGCATTCCAATCAGTCAGTTGAGGATCCGTATCAGTCAGTTGAGCATTCCGATCAGTCAGTTGAGGATCCGTATCAGTCAGTTGAGCATTCCAATCAGTCAGTTGAGGATCCGTATCAGTCAGTTGAGCATTCCAATCAGTCAGTTGAGGATCCGTATCAGTCAGTTGAGCATTCCAATCAGTCAGTTGAGGATCCGTATCAGTCAGTTGAGCATTCCGATCAGTCAGTTGAGGATCCGTATCAGTCAGTTGAGCATTCCAATCAGTCAGTTGAGGATCCGTATCAGTCAGTTGAGCATTCCGATCAGTCAGTTGAGGATCCGTATCAGTCAGTTGAGCATTCCGATCAGTCAGTTGAGGATCCGTATCAGTCAGTTGAGCATTCCGATCAGTCAGTTGAGGATCCGTATCAGTCAGTTGAGCATTCCGATCAGTCAGTTGAGGATCCGTATCAGTCAGTTGAGCATTCCAATTAGTCAGATGATTATCCAAATGTCAGTTTAATAAATCAGTCACGGAACCAATCAATTAGTAATTATTCAATCAATAAATCAGCTAGTGAAGGATTCAACTTACCAATCAAACATACAATCTGTCAACTCAATCAATCATTCAGGCAGCATATCAGTCACATAATCAGTGGCTTTAACAGTTATTCAAACTCCCAGTTAATCACTCAAATACCAACAGATCTCTCAATTAATATCCAATCAAACGACAGGGATTATTTCTTTTTTAATTATGTTGAATTAAATGTGAATCATTTGTGAAATTAGGATAGTTTTGTTTACGTGTGGAGGAGAGAAGTGGTAGAAAGATGGAGAAATGAAGAGAGGGAGAGGTGAGAAGAGAGAGGGAGAAGAACTCATGCACATACGGTTCCCTCTGTACTATGTACTGTGTGTGTCTGTGTGTATATATATATATATTTCAGAATTTAAATTATTATAATTAAACTCTCATTTACTTGCGTGTTAATCTTTCTTAATGCATAAATTCCAGCTGAGCATCAGCATAATACATTCTTACCTGCAAAACTTAGAGAATTTCCACTTCAAAAACTTTAATTCCTGGAGAGTGGAGGTGTGGAGTGAGAGCGGGAGGATGGGTAGAGAGGCTGGAGAACAGTAGAGAAATGATGAGGAAAATGAGAGAAACTGGAGGGGTAGGAAAATACATGATAGAAGTGTATTGGGGGATAAGATGGGTAGGAGAAGGTAAGAAACAGAAAAGAGGAAGAGGAAGGAAAAGAGGGGAAATAAAAGTAAAAAGTAGATGGTAAAGAAAGAAGGAAGATATCCTATAATTAAACCACCTTTCTATCTTGCCATTTATCCATTTCTATCTTTCTTCCTATCTTATAGATAGTAATCAGAGATGACATCTCGTTCCATTCATCAACTACCTCCTCCTCCATCTACCCTTCACCTTCCCATCCCTTGATCTATCCCTCCCTCCACCCCCCCCTATTCCCCCTCCAACGACCCCCCCTCCCTCCTCCAACTACCAGCAGGTCATGTAAACAAACTTCCTGAAACAAGTTTAAACAAGTTGGGTTGAACAATGTCTGTATGGCGGACCTCCCTTGCTCTCTTAATTATAATCTTCTACACTTTATTGATATTTCTCTGTGGGATGTGGGGAGGATAGGGCAGAGGCGGAGATAGTGATTGTTGTGGTGGTGGTAGTGGTTGTAGTGGTGGTGGAGGTGGTGATTGTGGTGGTTGAAGTAGTTGGGGACTCTGGTAAAAGTGTTGTAATTGACTTGAATTTGAAGGATGTTATTATTTTTTGTTGTTAGGTGGTGGTTAGAGATGAAGAGATGTGGTGATTGATGTGGTTGTCATGGTTGCAGAGGTGGTAGATTGATGTGCTTGCAGAGGTGGTAGATTGATGTGGTTGTCATGGTTGCAGAGGTGGCAGATTGATGTGTTTGCAGAGGTGGCAGATTGATGTGGTTGCACAGGTGGCAAGTTGATGTGGTTGCTATGGTTGCACAGGTGGCAAGTTGATGTGGTTGTCATGGTTGCAAAGGTGACAGATTGATGTGCTTGCAGAGGTGATGAGTGTGTTGGTTGTTGCAACTCATGTGTGTGGTAGAGGTCTTAAAGGTGAAGCTGTCCTTGATGTGGGTGAAGCTGGAGATAGTGATGCTGATGGTGCGTGTTCCTAGCCACTTCACCTATCCTTGGAAGGGCCGAGTTTCAGCTCGTGGGCCCCGATTTTTGACCTGTGAGTCGTGTAGTTTCAGAGGTTCCTCTGCCCTAATGTCTAACTTAATGCACCTGCCTTTGTAAGATAATTTTCCTATTTCTCTTTGTTCATTTTCCTGTTTAACTATGTTCATTCTACAGACTCACTGTTCATGTTCTACAGAAGTGTTTCTTGTATCTCATTGGCTCAACTTTCGAACATTGAACTTCTGTTTTACTGTTCCTTATCTTGCGAGGTGTGTATGGGTGTAATCAGTTAATGCCTCAAAAGAATTATATATGTCGCGATCATGTGTTCTCTGCATTTTTTCTTTGTCTAGCGTTATGATACAACTTTCTTCAACCTTACCTTGTGTTCCAGTCAACTCAGTTCAGAAATCAGACTTGTTTCAGATCCATGAACTTTTATTAACTGCATTTTATAATTCATCATTTAGACATAAGCGCTGAATCTAATGACATTAGATTATACGCGAAATAGAGGGAGATATAATCACGAAATACAAAATACTTCATCGAACTCCCTGGGAGAAGCCACAATTGAACAATTACGTAACGAGAGAGAACTTGTATGCAAGTTAGACATTGAAAATGAACCCAAAAGGTGTAAGGAAACCCTAATTGACTGTTAGAGATGACGGATTGAACCAATATGAACACAATGGCGAGTTTGTCCCGCCAAACACACCGAAACTACGACGTTGGTACAACGTTCGAACAAGTTTTAACACTTTCTAACCAGTTATAACAACCAATATAGCAATGGTTCACTATCCTCATGAACTAGCTAATGTCTTGGGCCCTTTGACGGCTGCTTCACCCAGACTCTAGATAGTACTTAATGACCATTTTGTTACCCAACTATCTTGGTAAACTACAATTGCCTCTTTGCTGGCGAATTGCATTTCAGACTCGACAAAGTTACTCTTAAATTTCCTCTTAAAGTGTCTTTTGGTAACGGCTCATGATGTCAAAACGACTTCAACGATCAATTGATCATTTTATTAACGACTCAACTAATGTTAACGGAATATCTACTCAATTGATGTCTACTTTGACGAACTACGACTTTAACGACTGTCGACTAACGGCAAACGAGGTAGTTCTCCAGAGACCAGCTCCAACGACGACCTTTTTAACGAGGACACTAAAACTAGTCCTCATAGCAATTTGACCATAGTTACTTTATTGATTAACTTGCCCTTTCAACTGAAACAGGTCGGGTTGTTAAGGTCATGGTCACCAACGTTACAAATGCAACCTATTATGAGAAGTAACGGATCATAAATATCTACGTTTTCTATGCATCGGACTCGATGGGTTAGGTGGGTTGATAGGGGTTGTGCCTTTCTGGTTAGGCTAAAAGGTTGTATTCTTTTGCGAATCAAGAGAACGAGGCTGCATTGTTAGAGGTGTTTAATTACCCAACCACACACACCTGCCCATGTGTCACCCCCATTCCCATTAACTGTATCCCATCATGTGTCTTAGACACTGTTATGTTCCGTGATACATAATCAATGTCAAATTTCTTTTACACGAAAGTGTAAATGTTCAAATTACCTAATAATTAAATGCTGTAACACCTTAATCACCGACAATCCTTAACTACACTAGAGGCAATTAACCAGTGAACAAGCGATGAACTCTCACACGAAACACGTTGGTGCTAAAGACAGGGAACAAGGGGGAGCCAACTTGAAGGAGAACTAGCAGACACTACCTCCATCATCACTTTTGAAAGCAGACATAAGAGGAAGCTTCGTGCTCAGGAACCAGATTCATGAAGCAGTTATGCGTGTACTTACGAACGTGTACATCTTTCCTCAATCTTTGACGGCTTTGGTTACATTTATTAAACAGTTTACAAGCATGAAAACTTGCCAATTAACTGTTGTTATTGTTATAAACAGCCTCCTGGTGCTTCGGAGCTCATTAACTGTTTAATAATTGTAAACACAGCCGCCAAAGATTGAGAAAAGATGTACAAGTTCGTAAGTGTTTGCGTAACTGCTTCGTGAGTCTGACCCCTGGTAATCCCTGAATTAAATGAGTAACAGTTGGAAATGCAGACCCAGGGTATGAAGCTCGTTTCTGCAAACTCTACTAGATATAAACACACAAACACACACACACACACACACACACACACACACACACACACACACACACACACACACACACACACACACACACACACACACACACACACACACACGCACACGCCCTGTTACCTAGCAATAAATAGGTACCTGGGAGTTAGTCAGCTGTCACGGGCTGCTTCCTAGGGTGTGTGTGTGTGATGTGAAAACAAAATAGTAGTAGTAATAGTAGTTAGAAACAGTTGATTGACAGTTGAGAGGCGGGTCGAAAGAGCAGAGCTCAACCCCCGCAAGTACAACTAGGTGAATACACACACACACACACACACACACACACACACACGCACACACACACACACACACGCACGCACTTTGTACGCACGCACTTTCGTCTGCAAGAATTCTAATTTTCTTCAGTGTCTCTCAGTCACGAGGTAAAGACACTCTTTTCCTGTCTTTTCCACCCCCTTCTCTTTCTCATATTACTCCTCCTCCATTTACTGCTGATACTCCTTCACTCTACTTCCTCCTGCTTCACTTCCTGCTTCTCTACTTTCTGCCCTTCTCCCTCACTTACACACACACACACACACACACACACACACACACACACACACACACACACACCACACACACACACACACACACACACACACACACATATATATATATATATATATATATATATATATATATATATATATATATATATATATATATATATATATATATATATATATATATACCGCAGTTAATGCAAATCCCCCCCCCCCTAAAAAGTGAGATTTACACAATGTAAATCCTTGAGGGAGTGTAAATCTCTGAGCTATCTGCCCACATTATTATAAAGTTAGCTCCCTGACTGGGATTACACAGGAGCTCCCAGGCAAGGCTATTAGTACGTTCTGGATCCAATCTCTCTCATTAATGGGATATTTGTCTCATCCTGAAGACGAAGCAGAGCAAAATGATAGAGGGTTCGAACCTGGGTGAGGGAGGGAGAAGGGTGTGGCCATAGGGTGAGAGAGAGAGAGAGAGAGAGAGAGAGAGAGAGAGAGAGAGAGAGAGAGAGAGAGAGAGAGAGAGAGAGAGAGAGAGAGAGAGAGAGAGAGAGAGAGAGAGAGAGAGAGAGAGAGAGAGTCGTTCTGCTACTAACCACTT